CATTATCACCACCACCACCACCGCCGCCGTTGCCGCCGCCGCCGCCGCCACCACCACCGCCGCCGTTACCACCGCCGACGACGACGCCGTCGGTTCCCGTTGCCTATCGATTTTTCCGCGCAGCCTCCGCGGCCGGAGCACACAGACCGTCGACGTCTGCTGGGTAGTTCTAACATCGTTGCTTTGCTACTTTAACCCTTTCTCTCACCTGGCTTATCCCCTTGTTTTTATTCCCGTTCTTACCTCTCCTCGAGATTTTGTTTCTTTAGCTGTTCCCCTCGTATGTCTTTCTTTATTTTTTCTATTTTTTCGAGGCGGAAGCGTATAGGGAAGTTACCCCCAAATACCGGCTCTCGCTTAGATTCTGGGATAGTCTGAACTCGTAAGCCTCGAGATTTACCATTGTCCGTGGGCCTGGACCGCTTTTTGCTACCTTCGTCTCTCTTAAAATGAATTTTGCGCTCCGCTGGGTACAGAGCGAAGTTTGTTTCGCTTTCCGGGCTTCTCGCTTGCATTATGGGACTGACGTAATAATCGTTGAGTGTTATGGGCAAATTAGTATGCCGTTGGGTATTACAATTCCTTGTTTCTTCGGTTTCTTAAACTTCAATGTTTGGCATTCGTGTGTTACGCGTACTGATAGACGAATGCTTTTGAAATAAGGAAGTCGCGCGTCGCACGTTGATTCTTTTTACAGCTTATAACGAATAAAAAGTGCAATCATATTCTGTATTACTTTCACAGAGAATTCCGCTTACTTCGTTCGGTTTCCTTCTTCTTTACGTTATGGAGACGGCGTGAAAATTGCCGATTGTAATGAACAAATTGGTGCGCTGTTGGCTGCCACGGTCGTCGTCTACCCTTGTTTTCTTTGTCCTTTACGATTCAATCGGAATTTTCCCAGCGACTTCTCCCCCAACGATTTTACGCGATCCCCGACCCTCTCGCCGATCGCGTTTCTGTTGATCTTTCTCCCACGGCCTCGTTACAGCGAGGAGTTTCGAATCTCTCCACGGTTTTACGAGAGGCTTGCGTTCCGCAGCCTGTGATACGCGGAACCATGAAACGCGGAACCATGATCCGCGTCATCGAAGCGTTTCCTCCGAACGTGAGATTTTCCTCGCGGAACAGATGAGCTCCTAATCGTTCACAACGGAAACAAACCGCGTAGTCCTGTCTCAGGTCTCCGCGCAAGTTATGTATCTTCGGGCAATATACAACCTTCCTGTTCCGCTTTATTACGTTCCCCATATTAAAAAACTTTCAAGCGTGCGGCCATCCCTTTCTTAACGCAAAGTCAAGTTCCATAACAATGAGTACGAGGGAAACTTTTTCTCTCACAAACGAACCTCGAAAGGGAGACATTCTTATCCAGCAGAAAGCGAAACGTCTCGACGATAGAATGCGCGATTTTCTGGAAGGATTTTTAGGGGAGGAAACGAAAAAATAGGTGAAAGACTCCGGGAAGGGGCCAAGGGGGATGGAGAGAAACCCCTCTTTCGCATTATGCGGCCTTTTATTCGTTTCTCCGCGGCTCCGTTCGGAGCCGTGGTTCGTTCAAAGCCAAGAATGGCTAACAGTTGGCGTTCCCGCTAACGAACGAGCTGGGGAATCCGCGCTGCGTCCCCTGGATGATATTTGGGCTTCGTTAGGGAAAATCGATGCAAAACATTCGAACCAATTCACTTACACTTTGACCGATCAACGGGGCCGGAAAATTTGGACCCGAGCCGGGTCGAATAGAATTCGAAAAACTGATTTTTCCGCAGGGAACGGCGGACAGTTATTCTTTCAGCTAAGGAGGATTCCGAGGATAACCGGAAATCCGGAGAATTCTTCTTAAGCGTCTCCCAAGCGCCGAGACTCTTTTGAAGCGCGAGACTCGCTCTTGATGATTCGGAAGGAAGGAACTTACATTCTATTCTCACACGAGCTTGTTATTTTGCCAGTTTGAATAAGATGAGGGCTACTTTTGCGGGGGGTTGTGACGCGAAAAAGTGTTCACTTCGTTATTTTCTTTACCGGTGTTCGTGTATAAAGTACTTGCAATTTTAAATAATACAAAGAAATGAAATAAAAGGAAGAACGAACGGAATGAGGATTGCAGGGAATTCTTTTTTTTATCTTGTTTACCCTTTAAGCTCGTTTAAATTGCACGTGAATCTGCATACGAGATATTTTTCGTACCGTAACTGCTAGAGCGGATAATTAGGTAATGCTTTGTATTATGTATGAAAACTCGAAATGGAACTAGTTTAAGCGGCCGTTAGCGAAACTGGGTTATCGATTAATTAATAATACAACTTTTATAAAAAGGTTATAGAAAATTGATGTCTGAGGTATAAGGATGCAATATGGCGGAACAGATAAGAATCCAATGTGTGGATAATAAACATTATCGTGGCTCGTAAACTCAGCTCCGCCTTTTATTCGACTCTCCGACATTCCGCCGTTCGACAGTTAAATCGACTTAATACTAAGAACGAATTCCTTTGAGCGCGCCGAAGTTCAATCGATTGTCGAGAAGCATTCGAACGGAGATCCATCCGTGCGTCGTCAAACGTGAAAGTAAGATCTCACATGGCCGTTTTAAATACCCAATAACCACCTTGAAACATCTAATAAGAGGTAGTTTGCACTTCGACATAGACGACTCGAAACTTCTGCATCGTGGAACCATCGCGAGCGACCGACGAAGATAATGATCCACACAAGGTATTTAATAGGTATAATGAAACTTGTTGAAAACACGAAACTTTGGACATAAATTCTGGCATTATACTTGAACTGTTCGTCAAGCAAACTTTCAACTTTAAACGAATGTTGGTAATCAAACTTTTGATAGATTTAGCAAATCTCTTGTGAAGAGACATTAATATGTTCTACTTTATCTACCTCGTTCAACTATTCATCTCGCCTTTTCCATTTCATGAAAGAAGAAACAGTTTACCTTTTAAACTGGAATAAAAACTCCATTTTTTAGTTAATTCAACGTTTTCACGTTCGACTATTCCTTCTTTCACTTTAAACAGTATTGTAAATATAACTGTTTTAAACAAAAAATTGGTGCAATCAACGCGCGGACGAGGAACAATGAGAAACATATTCTCGGTTAAAATACACCCACGGTTAAAATACATTCGCCAATGAAAGCTCGGTTTATTGTTCGAAAAAAAATGTAATTTTCCGTGGCAAAAAAGCAATTTAGCGTTCGACAGCGGTTCAACGAAGCCGGCAACGGGCGGGGGACATTAAAAAGAACAAGAATCGGGACAGATCACCCACACCAGATGTGCCCCGGCCTGATCACGGACAGATGACTCTACTTGATGCCAGTAGTGCTACTCAATCTGTGACCAGACAATAAAGGAAGTAACGCTTACGCCAGCGGGTTTCCGGCGATAATGGGTGATCTTGGAAATGGAAAAAAGCGGAGAAAAGAATCTTCGGGCGTGCCTATCCTGCACGAAAGAGGTCAACGGTAAAATGGCGAGCCCCTAAGCAGATAACCGGCGATATCCCTGAGCCGTTTAAAAAGAAATATATTCGTCGCGAGGCGAATGCCGAAAAAATGACCGCCTTTTTCGCGCAAACGTTACACAACCCATGAAACCGAATGTTCCGTAGGCTGTCATTTACAAGATCTCCAACCAAGAAGATTCAATTTGCGTCAGAGTCGCCCTGCAACCCCGCGCAAAGAGGAACAGGGTGAAATTTAATTTTTCATCGGGCGTGGAGCCGGCAGAGGATTAATTAAATCCATGCTCAAGAAGATGACCTTAATGAGATACGATTCTTAAATTGAAATATCCTCGAGTGGGCCAATCTCCTGTCTCCCGTTGGCCGACAACTATTGTATCGCGGGACCGAAAACAATGGAATGTTCGCGGAAACAAATCCGCTTCTTCCAGCAATATAATTCCCGTCTTGAAGCTCTAAGATTGAACACCGCCCCGGAAATACGCTCTTTCAATCCTACCGCGAGAGAAACCGGGGACCGAAGCGATGGGACGCGGAGATGCGATGCAAATCGCGGAATTTTTGATCGCGTTGACGCACGAAATTTTTGTTCCCGGTTGACAATCGGCCGCGAGAAAACGCGGAACGCCGTTTCGCGTGTATACAAAGGACGTTGTGTGCTGTATTGGACGATTCACGGACGGTATATCTGGCGGACGGAGCCC